ACGTGTGGTCAACGCGTGGTCAATGTGTGGACTATACGTGAACAGCGCGTATACTATACCTGGACGTGTGGTCAACGCGTGGTCAATGTGTGGACTATACGTGAACAGCGCGTATACTATACCTGGACGTGTGGTCAACGCGTGGTCAATGTGTGGACTATACGTGAACAACGTGTATACTATACCTAGATGTGTGGCCAACGCGTGGTCAATGTGTGGACTATACGTGAACAACGTGTATACTATACCTAGATGTGTGGCCAACGCGTGGTCAATGTGTGGACTATACGTGAACAACGCGTATACTATACTTGGCCATGTGGACCACGTGTGGCCAACGCGGTAATGTCGTGAACTACACGCGGGCGCCCAGTAATTATTTTCTGTTCGTCGCACGCGCACCTGAAGTCTTTCGCTACCTAGCGCACGCGGCAGGCAATCATAGGCACGGATTGTAAGGGAAGCACTTGCCGATCGTACACAATGAAGAGCGCACTAATGTAACGCTGTCCATTCATACGATGCGATACCTGGATACATTGTAGCGAGCGCACTGATGACGTCAACGCAGGTATTCGCGCTCTATGTTGGGCTACTTCCAAGTCGCTAATATACTACCTATATATAATAGATGTCTATGGTATATATACCTGTCTATACCGGAATGCTTTGTGAAGTCAAACGTTGTTTGCATGGTCGACGTGGACACTAGCTGTCAAAGGATTCACGTCCTAAAGACAGAATGTTTGTTTGAGATCGCTTTAAATCTAGTCCCTGTAAGATTGCCGCTAAGCGGTTCGAGGTGCAGGCGACACTGTGTGTCGAATCTCAGTACAATCTCACAGTATCGTTACAGTGCATATATGACATCCCCACCGTGTTACATCACGGTGACAATGCACGCAGATGGCATCGTGACGTTAATCATCACTCGAATGCTACACAACGATCACACCGTATGTCGATTATATAACTTCGTCCTCCGAATGCTGTACAAGAGAGTGACAACATGAGTAAACAGAGCAATGCCGTAGAACACCCCATGTATATGCAGTTTCGTTGTTCTGTGTGAGGTAATTGTAACCGCGTTATATTAATATTGGACATCTGAAGCTTCTACAACTTACACCATGCTGTTGCCGATAAAAACTCACTAGCAAGACGAACCAGTGAGTTCAACAAGCAAGTATACATGGCAATCAATATTGCGTCCGACATATTAAGACCACCCATCAACCAACACGAATCACCAGACAACCAGACAACACAAATTTCAGAAACGACAACAATTTATTACAAACAAGGATATAGAATAATTAAAATTAAATTAACGTCTTAATACGTTTGCCATAACCGACATATCAAAACGAATAAATACTAATTGCGTGGAAAACAAAAAGATATATATGAAACTCGATGGACAATGAATTTATACAACTACATATGAACATACTTTTTTCCCAAAATATTTGGTAATATATAATATAACTGTATTTTATACGCGTTAATCCCCACCTGAATAAATTACAATAAAATAATGTATAATTTACGTAGATATAGTGATACATGAAAGGGAGAGGATGAATAAATAAAGTGCAGCAGTATTTGGGGTTAGCCGAGAATAAGAGCAAGGTGCATCAGCGGTGTGTAGGTGGACCTTATATATGTGTATTATGGTAGGGCATGGAGGGGACAGCAGAGATGTGTGGACTGGGCTCGTTTGCTCGCCAGGTAGACACGGCAAGGCGCCAAAGCAAAACGTTCACACTGCAGCATTATGTAGTACATTTACGAGAGCGATGTAAGAGACACATTACTCGTTCTACCAGCGTAGTAATGGTGCAGCCCCTATATAGTTGCACGAGATCGCTGCCTCATTACGAAGCCAACTCGGCTTGCCACTGAAGCGAAATCGGTGCGTATTTCTTCAAAACTATAATTACATTGCAATTTCCTGAAGAGTGTAATGCAATGTTCCGCACTACTTTTATCGGTGAGTACTGAAGCGATAAAATAACTTCATGAGACATTATTTTCTCCTATTACTTTTCAGCTATTGGCTCTGATGGACGCACGCATGCGCAACATTCTTGAAGATTTCCCTGTTAATAGTCGAATTGCAGTTTTCCTAAAGAAGATACAGGCGCACATAAAATGACAGAATGTCTATTACTTGTAAAACGACCTTGATACTAGTCTTAAGCATATAAAGATCAAGGTTGCCACCAAAGGCACATTGGGAGCAATGAGCATTGGGGCAGGAACGCTGGTGTGTGGAATGGCTTAGGCATATCTAAATGCCCAGTTCTTAGTAATGGAGCCCTAACAGTGTTAACAACCATTTGCACTGATACATCACATCAGGAGTTAATAATGACAAATTTGTCATTATGAACTCCTGATCACATCCATATATACCTATAATACCTATACATCTACATAATACCTATTGTAGTATAATTAGGTATTATTAGCTATTGATAACATTTATGCTTAACGCACACATACATGCACGCACGCACGCACGCACGCACGCACACACATACATGGGCCAATATGTCAGCAGGATGTAAAGGAGACATTTAAGCATGCCAAGCGCACTAGGCATCTATCAGTCATCGCTGTCACGGGTGTACACACGAGGCCAGTTTCCTTCACCACCCTCATGCGTTTTCAACCTTCCGTAATTATACAACACTTCAAAATAACTAGGTGCAAACAAACCAGCAAGAAAATATAGAGAAATTAACAAAGCACAGTTGTGTTTTATGCTCATCAGATCATCAAAGGCAGATGATCATATCCTCTCTCTATATATATATATATATAATCAAAGCAATATACTAACTTGCCTAACTTACTATATGACTTGCTTACATATAAACGAAATTATTTTAAACAATATTATACATCGATAAAAGTACACAAGAGAATGATCATTAATAGGTAACATTATATACTTTGATACCCACTTTTAAAGCTCATGAATAAAACTAAGGAATCAAAGTTGTATCACGCTCGTAAACCGTTTTCGATTGAGACAAAATAACAACTAGCCAGCCAAACTGTTTTTAGAGTTTAACCAACAAAAATACATTTCATAAAGTAAATGCACAGATCGAAGAACAAATTAAATTCTGCACTTAATCAAGTATGCACACTGTTTTTTGTCGGTCGGTCTACTAACATCAGGACACATCTGCATTGTTGTTACCACACTCTTGTGGCCAGTTAATGAGCATCACCAGAGGACACTCCAAATGGAAAGGAATAGAAACCACTGAGAGCAGACATATCCGTGGCTGTATTATCAGCTGAGGTAGCACTGCTGGCCATGGAAAACACTGGTGGTGCCGGTGACATGTTAAACTCAGCTGTCGACTCAATCTCTGAATAAAATGTAGACAATTACATGGGGTAATTAACATAGTGAATTAGCAATAAAATGGTATTTAAAATCAAGGGGTGCATAAGTATACTGTCACTAGCATGAGGAAACATGATGGAATACTCTTATCCAAGTTGTGCAGTACATACATAGCTGCCAATACATTCAATGAGCATAGCATATCTGTAAAGAAACTGTAAGAACTGTTGGAGCATAGACTGGTGTATGGGCAAAAAGCTCAAAATGTCTGATCTCAAAATGTAATAAAATTCATGGAGTATGAATGTAACTACCATCAAAGTTAACCAAAACTGCCATTTAGGACATGATGCATGAAGATTCATGATAATTCTCTATTATTATGTACAGACTTCATTAAAAGTTTTAACACCCACAGTAATAAGTATTGTGCAAAATGGTAAAAAGGAAAATAGATGATTCTTACCTGGAGTTTTAAATATGCACACATTTTTACTAGCTGGGTTCCATATACTGCTAGTACTGCTGCTTGGCTCACCATATCTGAACTCAGGGCTTTCCATCTGCAAAATTGACACACAAAAACAATATAAATAATAGAAGTATATGCTTTCTGGTTATTTCATATTACAGAAAATTAAAGTATGTCTGGGGTGAATAATATAAACACATTAACCAGGAAGGTGTATAGGGGTGTCATCAAGAGCTAATAATACCTATTATACCTAATAATAATACCTAAATAATACCTAATAAATAAATATAATAATAATAAAATAATAATAATAAATAATAATATAATAATATAATAATAATAATAATAATATAATAATATAATAATATAATAATAATAATAATATAATAATATAATAATAATAAAAATAATAATAAATACCTAAAGAATACCTACTAAATACCTAATAATAATACCTAATAATACCTAATAATACCTATTATAATAAAACCTATTATACCTATTATACTATACAAGAGCTAATAATACTTATAAGGTATTATTAGCTCTTGGTGTCATGTAACAACTAACTTCATATATGCCAGCTGAAACAGATGTTTATACTGATTATATTACAAATATATCATGTCACGCTTCCATTGACATAACTTGGAAGAATTTTGGACTATTGTCCCTTTCTTCCTTAATTGGCACAGTGTTACAGAGCAAGCAGTCAAATCAAACGTATTTACTGCTAGTAAAGAGGTTCCATACGTGTCTGCATCACCGGACATGCATGGCAGCAATTCAATCAGCCCACACAACTGCAAGCAGCACTCTAGCTACTCTCAGCACACACCATGCATGCATTCACATGACTATAAAACCTATTTCAAAAGGTATATACCATTTAATACATTTTGATAAATGCATGAAATAAAACTCTCTCAGCTTGTTCAGCGACAAACCAGACGTTTTACTTCTAACATTTATAGAGCCTATCGTGAAGGATATTGATTTACAGTCAAATGAACGAATTTCACTCACTGCGTGAAAAGGTTGAAAGAATCCCCCAGTGAAACCAGTAAATCCAGACACTGTTTCACTATGTGCTGTGACCACTGCTGGCTCCTGCTCTTCAAATGGCTTCTTCTTCGGAAATAACACAAAATGACATTTTGTTTTAAATGCAATTCATTGATTAGGTAGATGCATGAACCATGTTCTATGCGATGCTTGCTAGTCTATAATGTCAATGCGCATTCTTAGACTTAGAAGTACAGTTATCCTGGCCTCTCCTAAACTAATCCAAGTCATATTATCCGTTGTCAACCTGTATTAATGACATTTTAAGACTTATCTGTTCAATATAATTTTAGCTGCTCATGTACTAATCACACACCAACCCAATTGAAAGAGATCAGGTTGCCACAACGAAAATTTAGCTGGAAGACACATCCTGTACGTGGGAAGCAGTGATACTGACGAAATAGCCTACCTTAGACTGATACATGTCACGTGTTTTGAAGGTGAAGGCAGGTGATTTGTCCCTCTTATTAAAGTGTTCCAGCTGCTCCCACATGCCTGCACTAGGCTTATTTGTTCTATTACCTTCACCTAAGCCAATTTCAAACGAGTAAGATTACTCTAACTTTAAGTTATGTTCAGTTAAATTCAGGTTTATTTAGGTTACATACTAAGGTGCACAATTAATAGCACCACTGATTAAAATTTATAAACTGCAATCACCACATTATGAAACCAAGTATTTATCAACTTCAATTAAAGATTTCCAGGTGCATTCAGCAAGTCCTGTTTGAATCTGTAGATAATGTTGTAAACTAATTTTGTGTATTGCTTATAAGAGCACAGAAAGCTAATCTAATGACCTAATTAATTGAGTATATGCTCATCACTCTAGCGGTGTGAAATGCATCCACGTTGTAGAACCATTCATTAACAGCTTTTTCTGTGACAAAAACGATTCAAAATAAACTTGTTTTGCCGGCTTTTATTACGTACAACCTATAATGGTCGGGACTGACATTAACGAAAACAGCTGTCACTATATCTGATGTCGCTTGGCTTACCTATATGCTGGGCGGATGCAGGAGTATGTGGCGAGATGACCATCGGTGTGAAGACTGTTCCCGGAGACATGCTCCGAACACTCGGCGATGGTGAACAGAGAGGAGGTGGTGAGTTGGGAGGAGAGGAGAGAGCAGGGCTCATTGGTTTGTAAGGAGACATGGTCGGGGTCATTGGAAATTCATCTCCGTGGAAGGTAGATGTGGAATTGGCATCAAGCTGATTACAGAGCACGTCAGCAGGTTCCGTATAGTGGCAGCTTACTTCTTCTGGGGACTGCATTTTCTGCATTGCTGCCGACATTTGTATATCTATAATTAGTGAATCAGTACTCTTAATAAATATCATGGATGAATATCATACGATAAAACTGCAACAAACAGCATTTTCAACTTATCATTTGACAAAAGGTAGGTAGTACATATATAGATGAATAATTTGATAGTAAAAATAATTTAATTTAATATTATACCTCTTCTCATTTCCTGGGGCATAGCAAAGGGACCAGACACTGTGGACTGAGACACGCCAACCATAGCTTGCTGACCAACTACCACAGAAAATGAAGTTTTTTCTGGGAAGTTAACTAGATGTGGCTATAAGGGACACAAAATACAGCTGTGATTAAAGAATAACACCTCGGTATGTTTCTGTATTCTTTATACTTAATTGGCTATTATTTATGTTATGGCCTTATTATGAGTACTTAATATTAAATAGGAATAATGAAAACCAATCTTCAACACTATTTACTAAGATAGGCTCTATAACATTTCCTAGCATCATATCAATGCCACAAGTCATTATTATGTGTCCACACAGAGTAAACACAAAAAGCCAGTAATTTATGTTACTAAAATCACTAAATAGACATACAGCGCAAGGCTCTAGTTGCATGTGACAATTGTTAGCTGTTGGACTGACATACCTTGACGATATCGGGAGGTGTTGGCAAACTACGTGGTTTTGGAATCGGTGCTATCCTGGCTGTCTGCTGCATGCGCTTTGGGGATATCATCATGGCAGCAACTCCACTGCTTACAGCATCCCCGCTTCCCTGCATCAGCACAAACACTATCACAGTAATGACGAACTATAGTCAAGCACCAGTAAAGCAAATGAAGAAAAGGCCACACTAACAATATATATATTGCTGCTCACATAAGCACAAGTAGTTGTGATTATTTTAAGTCTAAAATTTCACGTATATTGCATGGTAGGACTTTAAAAGTCGGGCTTTAGACTTATGACACAAAAATTTTGTTTCTGACAACGGGCCCCTTAAGCGCGCGCAGTGTATTATGAATGAATATAACAACATATGAGATCATATACACAAGAGCAAATATAATGCAAAACTTGTTAGCACGTAGAAAATATACACAACAATTACAGGCGATTCACTACAAAACCATGACAGCTAACAGAAAAACAAAAAAACGTGATTTTTGATTTAGGAATTCGTATCCGATTCTTATTTATTCATGACTGCATGGCTACTTTAATTTTCTCCAGTATATATATATATATATATATATATATATATATATATATATATATATATTCATGATAATACAAACCTGTTGTTTATCGGTTGGTGATAGTGAAGCAGCCGGAACAGAAGAGATTACGGGAGTACAACCACCGAGTGGCACCGATAATCTGGGAACGATGATCTGAGGCACCCGTGACTGGCTTCTATCTGCCCAGCTGTATTGTAATTATGCATATGTATTTTTGTGTTATTTATCATCCCATAGTAACATAACACAGGTACGCTAACATTAGCATGTTGCAATCACTGGTCAATTTATATCTCATATATAGCTTAATCAGCCTATATGCAGGTTTTCAATATATTTTAATAACGTTTGTCAATTTGTTTAAATGCTAGAAAATTAGGTTGTTTCACTGCGTTTGAGACATTCAATGTTTTTGTTGTTTTTAAAACTATATACTTATTGATTTTTTAAATACGATTTTTTTTATAAGAATTGAGAATAAAATACAAAATATAATTTGAAAACCCTGTGGAACATTATAAAATATACACCCATCGAACCAGATTTACTGACATTGTAGAATGCAAGAGATATATATCCCCACAAAAAGAATGTAACAATACATACCCGAGTTGCTGTGTGTTTGGTTGAGGCGTGCTTGATTGACAAGTGCTACTCTGTGGAACATTAATCTGTGGGGTGCTAAGCTGTGGCACATTAAACTGTGGAATACTAGGTTGTGGAACATTAAACTGTGGAATACTAGGCCGTGGAGTACTAGATTGTGGAACATTAAACTGTGGAATACTAGGCCGTGGAGTACTAGATTGTGGAACATTAAACTGTGGAATACTAGGCCGTGGAGTACTAGGTTGTGGAACATTAATCTGTGGAATACTAGGTCTTGGAGTGTTAAGCTGTGGAATGCTAATTCGTGGAGTGCTAGGCTGTGAAACATTATGCTGAAGAATGCCGGGTTCTGGAGTGCTAGGCTGTGGAACATTAATCTGTGGAATGCTAGGTCGTGGAGTGTTACGCTGTGGAACATTAAGCTGTGGAATGCTAATTCGTGGAGTGCTAGGCTGTGGAACATTATGCTGAAGAATGCTAGGTTCTGGAATGCTAGGCTGTAGAACGTTAAGCTGTGGAATATTAGAGCTTTGAGTGCCAAGCTGTGGAACAATAAGCTGAAGAATGCTAGCTCGTGGAGTGCTACCCTGGGAAGTACACTGCTTGGACATTAGAGACCCTGAAACAGGAACCATTTCACTAGACATCTGCTGAATGCTTGTCTGCATGTCTTCAAGACTTCCGCTTCCCAAGTTGCTACTCTCTGCTGCTTGAGCATTCTGAAATTCAGAATATAGAAGAGGTGTAACTAGTAATGTGTATAGGGCCTACTATTTCCAGTAGTATGAAAATGTATGATCGATCAGCATCAAATATATGCATCAAAACTGCATATTGATCGATATATAGTAAAAACCCTGTTTTTTTAATTCCACGATTGTAAGCTTTTAATTATGACATGCTAACAATGCCATAGTTCTTGATACCTACCAGTTCTCTCTGTGCTACCACTTTGTCTGACTGGGCAAGATTCTCTGCCTCTTTTATCCTGGCCTGCATATTTTCCTTCTCTGCTTTCAGCTGATCTGCAACCGATTGTAGACGGCGTTGCTTCTGCTCCAGTAGCTGTTTCAATATACAGAGAATATGATCACAAACCAATAAAATCTTACTTACATGACTGTGGGCACATTACCTTGACAGCAACCACAATGCTCACAGCTCATGCAAACCTATTGATCATTTAAAATTGCACACCTACGTAATATCAAAGCCCAGTGCATATAAGCAGGCTTTCCAGCAGTCCTCGACAACATGTTATGGCTAATTTTAGGGAGAAATTAAGGTTTTTTTAGGGCTATTTTAGGAATTTTTTAGGGATGAATCGAAACATTTTAGGGATAAAATAAGTCACTTACCTTTCATAAACATCAACGTGTTAACTTACAGATACAGTTCTATGTGGTATGTGTCCAGTCTACCAGCTATTCCTATCCTCCAAGTACATCATCAAGTTTCATGCAAATTAGGCATGTCTTGTACATCCAGCCAGGAACAGGGTCGTATAATCAGACATTGAAGCTTAGGAATCACTGGTAGACTGAGTCACAATACTTACTCTGTATAAAGATAACTAGAAAACATCCATTAGCAGGGTCTCCAACCCTGTGAACTCCAAATACGAAATGTTCCCGCAGTGATCAGTAACTAGTGGCGTATTCAGAAATTGATGGGGTGGGGGGCGAAATGTACCTTGGCTGCCGCAGGCAGGCCCGCGTGCCGTAAGCATGCCAGTGCTAGGGGGGCTCTGGGGACATGCCCCCCCAGAAAATTTTGAAATATTTAAGCCATTTTCCTGCATTCTGAGGCATATTGTGGGCCATATTCTCATGTCTGATAACACTATCTCAACCCTAGACTCAACCCTACAACCCTTGTCTGATTAGCAGACAAACTACGCGACACCTTGCAGACAGCGCCTGTTTGACTAGGCTGTTCCATTTACCGTAGACAAAAAAACTATGTGTCCAAGCGAACAATGCGAACAATCAGTGCAAATTTTGTACAGTGCAACTGAAATGAGGAATATAACCTTGCCGCTGCAGAATGCGGAAATTAAGCCTAGAAATCGTAATGATTCCGCAGAATCAGGAATGGTTGGAGAACCTGCATTAGACATAATTACAAACCAAAAGTTCATCATCTCATTAGCAAAAACTCCAAACATATCTGTGAATTTTTTTTTTTTAGGAATTTGAATAAAATTTTAGCCCTTTTTTAGGAATTGCATACATTTTTAAAGTTTTTTTAGGAATTTTAGGGCGAGCTCAAAATTTTAGGAATTTTGAGGAATTTTAGGGCCGCTGGAAAGCCTGTATAAGTAGTCATGCACAGATTGCAAGTAGTCTGTCATTTCCAACCAAAGCCAGCGCACACGCAGTCTCTTAATCGTTACCACTATCTAGAAACTTTATGGTCCTATTCTTTTGTGACATCCCCATAGAAAACATACTAAAGAATGAATTTCATTAATAAAAGATATTCACTGATGAAAGCAGGAATGCAGAATGCAAGAGAAACCGCCTTTTCAAAAGAGCTAATCAATAGATATGAAATGTACATATCAGTGTTGCATCTGTTGGAAACATGTATCTAAATTTTTATCTATACAACAAATTGTTACCTGCAAATCTGAGTTCTTTTTAGCCATCATGTTGTCAATCTTAAATCTAGTGGCTTCACACACAGACTTCTGCTTCCATATTGCAGATTCAATTGAAACAGTGTCAATTCTCAATGCAGCACTGTCCACACAGTTAAATCAACACGGAAAAGCATGGCCTCTAGCTTCTACATAGAAATAACTGGTGAATACACCTTACCAGGTATTTTGCTTGAGAAGCAAGCCCCCATTTTACCATGAACATGTAGCAATAAAAGGATACACTTTGACAATCATATTGCTCATATCCTTAAATGGCAAGTCTTGAACATGAAACATATGGAAAAGCAAGTTTTAATCTCTTTCAACATTTATTCAACTCCTGGAAATTATAAATATTATAACCACTAGGGAGTCAAATTGTACTTATAAATTCATACCCCAACAAATATATATAGATGATAACTATCTCTAGATATTTCACAAATTAAATTAAATTTTCATTAACCTATTAGAAATTATAAACACCAACTAATATACAATGTAAATGAATACCACACCTGACAAGTTCAAAGCCTCTATAAGAGTTTTAACCCGGTTAAGATGGTCCTCGTTACATTTCACCTGCTCCTCAACACAAGTTACTGCTTCTACTTTCTTCTGCAGTTGCTGAGCAAATGGTGAGCTCTGGTACTTTTGCTCATAGTCTAATGCCACAGCAGTGTAGTGCTCCACAACCTTCTGTTGCTCTATACTGTGACATAGATGTACGAACGTTTACAATAATATAGCCTAGTAGATTATGGAGGTTGCTACAATACGAAATTAAAAAAATCAAAAAATAAAGACCCTTTGCCTCAAATTTTGGCTGCATGATCAGGATTTCTGTTTATGCAATAGTATGTGATGTGCATTTTTATATATCACGTTATGAAATGTAAACCTATGTAAATCTATTTTAGAGTAGCCAAATTAGCATATGTGCCTAACAGAATCTAACATGTTAAACAAGTCATGTTATTTTAAGCCACCAATGTAAATGTCTGTTGAGCCTACCAAAACCTGAATTATTTTTATAATGTTAGGTGACTCAGTCTCACTAAAATTTCAAACATTCCATGAAAATGATCTAAATTAAGTCTCAGTAAAAATGGTTAATGTTAATATGTTGCCGAGAGTAAAGATTGAAAGAATGCATGGTAATTGATAGTGTAAAATTACAGCTCCTGTTCACTGCTCTGCTTCATCTGCTCCAGCTGCTGAATCAGTGTCTTTTCGTGTCTGACGAGCAACTCTGTATCATTCTTCAAGCTGCAAACAATATAAGGTACAATAAGTTTACGCAACTGCACTGTTGTTATGCTTTAGAACATTCTGCTAAAATGGGCACAATAGCATATATGTTGCATCCACTGAATTTGGGGGGTTATTAATACGTATTATATACAGGTTCTTATTTGGAAAGATTATGGATTTAAGCTAATTAAGTCATGCATGTGACTTGATCGAGTAATGGTATGTATGTACCTTTCAATGCGGTCTCGATTGTGCGTGAACTGCTTGTAGGTACGCTTTGTATTTGCATCAATCTCAGATATCTCTTGCTGTATATCTATGAAGGCCATCTGCTTCTTTTCCAATGCACCTTCTATAGCTAAACCATTTTCATTGACTTAATGCATAAGCATTTGCCCACTGAAGCACTGCAGACACACTGACATGATGAAACGCAGACGTGACGACATGTTGACAGGGGCGTGTACAGGATTTGTACCAGGAGGGGGGGGGGGTCTGATCGTAACCCAAACTTGCGAGCACGCGAAAGGGGGGTGTGCCCTCCCACCAAAATTTTTTGAAATTAAACCCCCTCAGTTGCGTTTTCTGCACGAGCAGGGGGGGGGAGGTCCGGACCCCCTGGACCCCCCCCCCCGGTTGAAATTGATGCTAATTTAAAACCAAACTATCATGAATGCAGTATTTTTTTCATTAGGAATTAGAATAGCTTTTAAAATTCACCCGCACCCACACACAAGTCATGTCACTTTTATAGGTACACTTCTATCGATCAGTCAAACAGAATATTTTGTGTCTGAAGATGTATAGATGTAAGAAGTATTTCAAGAATCCTGATCACACTATAAATCATATAGGCACAAAAAATGTAAATTTTTCAAGTCAATTATATCTTAGGCTTATACTTAAAGGCTCACAATGTGCATCCAAACGCTAATTTCTACAGTACTAGACTAGCAAATACTTCGTGGCATGAATAATCACACTACCTTATGACAAAATAAACTCTAGCTCCTCCAATTTCACTGCGCATTGTCTTATAAAAGGTATTTTGAAAATACCTCCAATGTTGTTGAAATTCTCCGATGTTGTTGACAGTTTCCCCAATCTCCAAGCAACCGTGCAGCGGTGGCGCGGTACAGCGGTACGGGCGCAGCAAAGATAGAAACATGTGACGTCACCAAACCAAGTCGATGTTATGTTGTTTGAAACAAGTTAGCGTTGGCGCCTGATTACCTGATTTCGCACCTCTTTCTTGTTGGGAACGCGCAGTCAAATGGGAGGAACTAGAGTTTATTTTGTCATAAGGTAGTGTGATTATGCATGCCACAAAGTAGTTGCTAGTCTAGTACTGGAGAAATTTCAGCGTTTGGATGCGCATTGTGAGGCTTTAATTACCTACTTTACAATTTTTACATTTTGAAACCAACTTTCAAGCTACGATCTAACTATAGATTGTTAATCACTACAATATATACTGGCAATTTGCAAGAGCTGGCTGAAAGAATATAATAGGCAAAAATGTAGTATTCGGGGATATACCAATGATGTTCTGCTCCTCCTTGGCAATCACTTTGGCATGCTGTTGATTCTCAAATTCTGTGGAAATTGTTTAATAAAATTAGATTAGCAAAACAAAAAATGAAAATGTCTTGAATTATCCATGCCAAAATAATGTGTAAAGTTGTGTGATTCACTAACTTCCACAATATAATTTACAGTTCAATGTATGTGTGGTACAAATGGTCACTATACAAAAGCTGTAACCACAAACAACATGAGGGCTACAACAAGTACATACTAAAAGCTAGTTATCTCGTTCACAAAAGGCTATAATTTCTGCTCTGCTAATCTCAAACGAATGTGCATGTAAACTAAACAATATTATACCAAGAGATTTGATGATCTTGTCTAGCTCTCCATCTGGCATTCCACAAAGAGATGAGTAGAACTCAGACCCAACACTGTGACAAACTTGAGATATTGACAACATTTTCTATGATAAAAAACACAAATATAGAAAATTTCAATGGCAGACCATACCAGTGATGTGTCCTGTATTAGTCACCTTCATTGACTAAAATTGATGAGGTGCAATATTAGTCAACTTCATTGTATCGCTTTGTGTTCTACTAGTAACGCTCAAGGGGTCGTTGTCGTATATCAGGTACTACAGATATGTACCCGAGGTACATATATATGTATACACAAAGTGTACCAGACTTGTACTACAGAATTAAGTGTACCCTAACCCTAACCCTAAACATACCTCATATAAAAATATAAACATAATACTAATTACAACCTAAAACTACCTCGGGTACATATCTGTAGTACCTGATATGACAACGACCCCATCTGCACTAGTAACTATAATGCAACTGCCAAATTTATTTAGACATAAAAACGGTTTACAATTTTTACCGATCAAACTCTTTGCTAACGCTAACCCCTAGGCCCTACTTGTCGTCTGCAATCCAACTTGACGATGGATATCAATTTCATATATCTTTTACATAAATCTAAGTAACTATAATTATGCCTATACTATAGTAGTATTTATTAAACGCTATTATTGATTATAGTAGCATTATCGTTGATTATCGTTGATTATCGTTGATTATCGTCACTATTGATTATAGTGCATCGTCTGCAATCCAACTTGACGATGGATATCAATTTCATATATCTTTTACATAAATCTAAGTAACTATAATTATGCCTATACTATATTAGTATTTATTAAACGCTTTATTGATTAACTGTAAAAGGGTAACTGTCAAGTAGCGAACAATCAAGATTCTGAGATTCGTCACGAATTTTGGCAATTTATGAAACCAGTTTCAATACATGACGTACATGATATAGCTCTATAGAACTATAGCCTAGAACTCTAGAACTAGCCTACTAATACTATAGTACTATAGTTCCTGCACCCCTGCACAGCTGGAGGAAAGGCAGGCGATGCTCACCATCTTGGGGCTAAATGAACATAGATGTTATGGGGATTGGGTAGAGCAGGTTAAACATTACTTGGAATCAGCCTGGAAGCTCCGGAACAAAATCTCCCGGTAAAGTGAAATTACCGGTGGGAAACTCAAAAATAAAAAGGGAAATACCGATCTAAAGGTTCCCGTTCATACATACATACATATACATATAGTTCTAGAGGCTATGACTATGAGTATGAGTAATCAGTATGACGTACACAGCCCAGTAGAGTATTATTATTAACTTCAATTAGACTAATGAGGTGCAATATTAGTCAACTTCATTGTATCGCTTTGTGTTCTACTAGTAACTATAATGCGACTGCCAAATTTAGATATAAAAACGTTTACAATTTTTACCGATCGAACTCTTTGCTAGTAACTGCTTGCTTAACGAAATGCTTGCTTTGCTTAACGAACTCCTTGCTCTTTGCTACGCTACTTGTCGTCTGCAATCCAACTTGACGATGGATATAAATTTCATTAGAGAGGGCGCTGACGTCGCGCCTGAAAGCCAGTGGGGTTTGTTATTTTTCTGTTTTCTGTATTTTTCTATCTTTATCTGTTTAACATTTTTTTTCCAATTATCGCCAATATTTACATGATTTATTTACAACAGCAAACATGATTTATTTACAACAGCAATTAATTTTTACAACAATTAAAAATTAAATTGTTTATATATTTGTTTAAATAGGGTTTGAGTTAGAGTTAGGATTAGGGTTAGGGTTAGAGTTAGGGTTAGGGTTAGGGTTAGGGTTAGGCCCACTGATCTCTATAATATAATCTGGATAGGGCATTGGCTACGTGTCAGTGACGCTACACGTTCGCCATCTTTCCGCTCGTAAAAGTATAGGGATCCGATCTAGCTGCGAGCGACTACTAGCATAGACTGGTTTATGGTGGCCCACTGCCCAGGGCTGCCACTACAATTTTACCTCTGAAATAAATAAAAGCAAAAAAAAAACGAAAAAAAAATATAAAAAAAATAAAAATCAAATTCAAAACGAACTCAAAATCGAAATCGAAATCAAAATCAAAATCAAATTCAAAATCAAAACGAAATAAAAATAAAAATAAAAATGGGGAGGCGAGGCGTACTCGCAGTACTAGGCGTTTATAGGTATAGCTCGCATTCTCTAGATCCTCTTGCTAGATATATCAATTCTGGGAGATCAGCCAGCATTGGGCTGACCGATGTACTCAGGGATGGTAGTCGGACTATCTATCGTTCCAGATCTCTTCCCGCTCGTCGAGAAGTACCTAGGGATCGCGATATAGCGTCTTGACCGACTTCAGCGTATCTATCAAGCATTTATGACTGGCTTAGTGGTGGGATTATTCGACCAATCTCCTATGGGCACTGCTCTGCCCATGCTTTACATGTTTAACCTCTTGAAATAATAATATGACAATGCATAAAAATTAGATTGCATACGAGAAATAAATATTATACAAGAAACAATATAATATTCGAAATTCAAAACGAGACTTCTCATTAGTCAGAATTTTCGTAAAGATTTCAAAATCAAAAATCTAAGATTATTGTCAAAATCCAAACGGAATAAAAATAAAATAAAAAATAGAAATAAAATAAAATAAAAATAAAAAACGAATATTCGAGAAAATGTATCGAAGAAATTGTTCTTGTCGAAAATATTCGATTTTAATCAAATAATCAAAATATCATGCAAAATCCAACAATTATCAAATGTCAAAAATTCAAAATCATAAATCCATAATACGGAGAATCTGACAATCGAAATCAAAAGTGCGAAAATCAAAGATCTCAATAATCAAATATTTCAAAAGGTTAGAGTCGAATTATGAGTTTTTACGCGTGGGACCGTGTGTGCTTGCAATGTTGATCAGTTGGTATTGTCGGCCCCCCGCCCGTGTGCGGGAGAAAGGCGGGCCCCACCATTTGGTCTCGAGGGCGCGCGTGAGTTTTCGGGGCGCGATTTCGTCTGTTCTATTTTATTATTTTAT